TTTTTTTTTTTTTTTTTTTAAACAGAGTCTCACCTGGGTAGAGTGCTGTGGTATCATAGCTCACAAGAACTTCAAACTCTTTGGACTCAAGTAATCCTCTTGGGACTATAGGTGCCAGCCAATAGCACCTGGCTAATTTTTCTATTTTTAGTAGAAATGGGGTCTCATTCTTGCTCAGGGTAGTCCCAAACTCCTGAGCTCAAGCAGTCCATCCACTTCAGCCTCCCAGAGTGCTAGGATTACAGATGTGAGCCACCACACCCAGCCCATGACTTTGAAATTTTTGAAGGTATAAGCTATTTAGTCTGTAATTTTGTATACTGTTCCTAAATTTGGGTTTGTGTGATATTTCCTCATGAAGTAGGTTAATCTTGGCACCTTTGGTTGGAAAATACAGAAGTGATTCTGTGTTCTCATTCTGTCCTATTGGGTGTCAATGAAATTTCATTTTGTCTATTACTTGTGATACTAACTTTGATTCCTTGACTAAGGAAAGGCTGTGTCTGCCATGCCTCACCACTAAGTTATTCTTTTTTCTTTGTAATTAGTTACTTTGTAGGCAGTTACTTTGAGACTGTTCTTCACCAAGCTTTCTGTTTATTTGTGAACTAATAGATTCTTGTTTTATTCAGGTGTCAATCTGTTACTATCATTTATTTTGGTATTTAAGTTTTCCCAAAGTTGGCCAATGAGAGCTACTTCAAGGTGACTTCTAGGTCTGTTTAACATGGGCCCATTATTCTCTGAGCACTACCATACTTTCTGGCCCAAGGCATTCAGTGTTCATCTTGTATGTCCCTGCTCCAGTCCTGGAAGTAGCCAATTCTCTAATGAGTCTTACAGCCATTGCTAGGAAATATGTGTATATTTATCCCTCCATACACACACATATTAAAAAACATACACGTCCAATATATAGAGAGAACACCATAACCTCATACTCATAAATAATTCTGTCTAGTACTACAGAGCCTCTTATAGATTTTCTTTTCTTTTTTTTTTCTTTTTACATATTTGTAGTTTCCTTCTGCAGAAACCAGGCTCTGATTGTCATAAATACATTAATTTGATTAATCACTCATCCTTATGGAATTGGTCTCTAGCCTTTCTCTGTGCAGGTACTGACCTTGTTCAGACCAAGAAAAGCCCTACAAATCTATAGTGGTACATAAAGTACCCCTCTGAAGATAGTGCTGAAGACATACAGTTTGGAGAATGAGTATTAAAGAGGAACGAGAAGGCATGCTTGAGGAAAACAAAAAGTTGGTTTTAGTTAGGATGACTGTGCCATTTTTTCTCTAAAGAAGGCTCACATTAAGCTGAAACAAAAAAAATAAAGCCACTTTAAAAAATTGAGATCTAAATTGTATACCATAAAATTCACCAATTTTTGATTGTGCACTTTAGTATTTTTAATTTTGTAAGGTGTTGTTTTATAGCTTCAGATTAAGTCTTTTACTTCTTGATTAAATTTATTCCTAAACATTTTATTCTTTTGATGCTATTGTTAATGGAGTTGTTTTCTTAATTTCATTTCTGGATT